TGTGTATTTTTTTAGTTAAACCACACGGCGTGAACACTAGCGAGTTAAGCATGCAATTAAATCTCACACTGGCACTAATTTTTCTTCATTTTTTTGCACCAATTTTTTTCACCATCATCTACATAGTTTCAACTAGTGCACACGCCCACGCTTTCAAATATGTACACTGTTTCGATTTTTAATCGCTAGATGATACACAGAACTTCCCCCCTGTCTCTTACATATTGTTATTTTGGTGCATTTTGCAGAGTCTATTATTTGTCTCGCCTATTTCATTCATTTTTTCATTGAAAGAAAAAAACGGAGCAAGTTATTTTCTCGTGACACTAGTTCGGTTGTAAATCGATGTATCGCGTGAATAAACTTTGATCGTTTTAGCTTCTCCGGAAGTATTCATGCAGGAATTTTCCAAAAAATGTTCCGCTTGGTAGGATTTTGCAGCTCTAAAAGTGTTTCTGGTTCGCTAGAATATGTGGTATATACGGGCTACGTTCGGCTTGATTGGGCTGCACGAATGTGCTTAGCGAAGCAGGAGCAGGTACGTAAAACGAGTGCGTAGGACTGCAAGTGCACACAACACCACTCAATCACCGCCTAGGCAATCCTCGGCGGGTGGAATGCGGAATTGACGTCGCCCTCGCTTCCTGGCAAACCTGGTGCTGCCCAGCTTAGTTTATACCCGATTACGTGCATTTACGGAACCGACACTTTTAATTTCACGCGCAGTTCTCAAAGGATTCTGTATACCACTTCAGTACAAAGAATGGCGGCTTGGGGAATAGCAGAGCATCAACGATCTGAACGAATCCCCGACGAATTATGGTGGGTAGTGCGTTATCCGTCAGGAGAAACGATCTCCGAAAACTCGTCCGGAATGAGCAGAGCGCTTAGCTAATGTTCTGCAATATTTCTGGGTGACGTACTTTCCGAGAAGTACTGCAAGAAACGGTAACGTCGCTAGTACCGGGAACGATACAACTTACAGGCACATTCCACGATAGCCGATAGGCGGAGAAATGGGCGGAGACTCATAACCATTGTAACTTCCTCATTGGTGCGTTGTAACTCTTGCCACATTGGAAATAGAAGCGCACCAATGAGGAAGGCACAATGGTTATCGGTCTCCGCCCATTTCTCCGCCTATCGCCTATCATGGAATGTGCCATCAAAGAGAATGCGAAAATCGAGGCCAGCTCAACACGACCGTCATCCAGACTTAAAGGACGAAAACAATGCATACCATAAATGGCACACAATGAGTGCGAAAAAGCGAAAAATAAAATAAAATGAAAATAAAAAATATTCAAGAACTGAGGTGGCGACAAGATCAGTACACCAAGTATCCATATGAAATGAAAAAAAGCAATTTCTACACGATACCTACACCAATGAATAGCTAGCTCTACCTGGTGATGACGACAAACTAATTAGATGCTTCTGAATAGATCTTTTGTGATGAAACAAGGAAGAACATATTAAATAGAGAATAGTCAGAGTTCTCGTCGACCGATCATGCGCTCGCTACTCTACATTTTCGTCCTTTTCAAGCCCATTCCATTCGGTAAACTTAGCCCGTTGATCAGCTGTTGCGCTTGTGGTATATACATACTGGCATGTTGACTCGATAGAAGATCAACCTAAATCTTAAATCATAGAGCAGATATAGGCTGAAACACTGAAAAATGCTAAAAAAATAGTACAGAGATAAATCGGATGCTAACGTATTTGGACTGGCGGGGAGGGGGGAAACCATGCAGCAGGGTGTGTGTGTGGCAAGACAGTCGTAACATGCCGCCCTGGTGGGAGTGGCGACACTGTGTCCAAAGGACGAGTTGTCCTGCTTGGCCGCTTGAACTTTAGAAGGGGATGGCAAAATTTGATAGTGCTCGTCACGGAGTCACGCCTACGCTTGAATTCGTACGAGTTTCGCTGCTCATATCAAAAAGGTGCACACCGCACATCGCCGCAAAAAAAAAAAAAAGTAACAAAAAAAAAAAAGGCAGAGCTGCCGCTGTATCGGCGATGGCGCATCGAATGTAAATTGCGCAGCAGTATACGGATCGATCTGACGACTGAGGAGAATCGGCGATCCGGCGCAGACGATACCCATCCACTTGCTTGACGCGCAATCGCCCGAAATGCCTGATCGACGATTTTCACCAACCGTCAGAACTAACACCTATACTTTTCCCAACCGTTCAGTCTCTTGATCGCCTTCCCTCACAAGAGAACCCCAAAAGGTCGATTCGGCTATTTGCAATGAGATGGACAGTGATGGACGTGTCCTGAGCCGCTTGAATTCAATTTGCTCTCGGAATTTGCCCGAACGATTCTCTTAAGGGAGTACGGAAATCAACCTCACAACCTGTGTCGCACAGTTTTCCAGACGATAATTGATTGCTGCAAGCAGGTCCTGGTGGTGTACGTGGATAAGCGCGCTGCTTTCATGAGATACGAGGCCACATGTTGAAATCCTTGACCGTTGAAACTTCTTGCTTTTCTTTGAAACACTTCATATGAGTCCTCAAAACGCTTCTGCGTAGCTAAGTTACCTAGCTTCTTGATTACATGACATCATCAGCAGGCAAATTCTCCATTTCTGATTCCTAAAAAAAATTTATTTCCGCTGTCTATTACTTTTTCGCTCTTGGCCGAGGCTGGTACGCGTGTTATTATTTCACAGAAACCGAAGCCCTCAACAGGTACGCCAATACCAGAATCGGGCAGAACACAGAACAGCTCCACATTTCGAAAGACAAGAAGAACCGCTGGCTGTGTATTGTGCGGTAAATGCCAGGCGTGGTGTGTGAAGATCACTTAATCATGGGGCTGATGATATCGGGAGTTTCGCGACAGATCATGGGCGGAATTTTGTTTAAAATTAGCAAAAAACTTCAGCACTGCTTTCCTGGACAGCAAGGAGAAGTGTGACTGTACCGTGTGTGGAAAACACTTCTTTATTGGCTGTCTCATTGTGAGCACTTGTTTTGTTTCCATCATTTCGTGAAAGAATACCATACGTGCTCCTAAACCATAATCTCTTTAATTCCTAATACACGCCCTAACAAACGGATATCCTCACAACAAAATCCTCAAAATGAACCGGGACTGGAGAAATGATGTCATTGTAAGAACAACAACTAGGTAAACTTAACAAAGTAGAAGTGTTTTGAAGACTCATATAGAGTGTTTGAAAGAAAAGCAAGAAGTTTCAACGGTCAAGGATTTCAACATGTGGCCTCGTATCTCTGAAGCGGCGCGCTTATCCACTACACCACCGGCTGCTTGCAGCAATCAGTTATCGTTCTGAACTGGTGAGAACACAGTTGAGATGAATGTTCCGCAACTCGCTTCAGAAAATCGTTCCGCAAATTCCGAGAGCCAGATTGGAATTCAGCGGCTCAAGACACGTCCATTTATGCATATTTCATTGCAAATGGCCTGTTGGGGTCAGGCACATCGTTTGTTGGTGAATCCCCACTATGGAGGGAGGGGAGAGGTTTGTAGGTCCGCCAGGAGAAAGGGGGGGGCGTATTTGGCTGGCATAAATATCTTGACAGTTGATTTTTCTCTGCTTCATTGACTATTCGTAAAGGAGGGGAGGGTCGTACTTGTCGTTTTTAGGGAAGGGAGGAGGGAGGGGGTCGTAGGTCGGGTGAGGAAGGACACAAGAGGGCTTGGGGGGGGGGGGTCGTCGTACAGACCTCGACTAAAATCCCCAACCAATGATGTGCCCTGCCCTGGTTGGGGTTCCCTTGTCAGTCGAAACGTATAAACGTAGTCTCACCATGGCCATGCAAGGCGGTACGAGCAATGAGGGATCGAGGGAAAAATTTTTTAACCCATTTTTCTTTTACACGATCTTGCTCGCGCATTTGAAGCTGCTACAATGTTCTGAGCCAGATTCAGAGTGACAACTCATCGAAATCTATAATCGTCGCTTATATGCCCCCCCCCCATACAAGATCACTATCTTATCACAGGAGTCACATAACCGCACTGGTCCAGCATGAGTTGAAATAATTTTTAGTGCATTATTCAATCATTTTCTAACCTGTGCTAAACTCAACGATTATATCTTACATCGACAGGTGATTCAGCTCGCAGATCGGTGCTGAGAGGCATTCCTTTCAGGCACACACATCGAGCTTCTCGTTCCCGAAGAAGGGCCGTTACTCGCTCAAGTTCTCGTCGTAGAACCTGATTCTGTGTCTGAAACGCGCCATTTCAACATCCATAATCAATCTCAACAGCAATTTCACTTACATTTAGCTGCACTTTCTCTTGTTCTAACGTATGTACGCGAGTGATCATGTCGTCATGTTCCTCCTTCTTTCGTTTTCTATAGCGAACGGCCGCCGCCTTATTTCTCTCAAGGATCGTCATCCTGCAGCTATAATGAAGTCAGAAGCGAAGTGATTGAACGTAGAGATGATGGCAAAACAAATGTGAAGTGACTCGAGATGGCACCAGTTTCAGCCATGGGTCAGTAAAATTCGGGGCATGTCCTGTCGTTGGGCGGAACTTTTGCAAAAAAACTACCCTTCCCTCCTAGGACCCCAAAAACGACGTCCTTCTCTGGGGAGCCCAACTTGCGACGTGCTCTGGTGAAGTTGCAGATTTTAGGTGAAGCCAAGGAAAACTCTACTGTCAACTTGAGTAACAGGGCACATTACCCGCTCCGCGAGTCAGAGGATAGGTAGCATTACGTGTGGAATCACTGCAGAGAAGGATCGTATAAGATCTCGAAAAAAGTTTCCTCGGAATGTTGATTTTCCCGTTCCAAGCGCATTACATACACCCTCCCCGCGCACGCCCTCCCCTTACCGCATCAAAATTTTGGAAAAACGGGAAAATTTTAGATTAGATTTAGATGAGGAGATTAGCAGGTTGGGCACTATTTACCCTTTACTGCCCCAACCATCCAGAATTGAGCCAGTTTCTGACCGACTTTTTTCTCCGTGGACAGATTTGGCTCAAATGTTGTCTCCTGGGGTATTTTGACCTCCTGAATACGAATATGACATTCGCTTAGCCCGAAACCTCCTGGCGCCCGCGCCACAGTCGCCGGTGATCCGGGATATTTTGGCGCCAGCGCCTGTAGCGCGGTCGCGAGAAGGTTTCAAGCCGAGCGGATGTGATATTCGTGTTCAGGAGGTCAGACTACCTCTGAAAACAAGTTTTCAGCGAATTCGGTGATTCAAGGTATTTTGGCGCCGGGCCTGTGGCGCGGGCGCCACGAGATTTCGTTCCTAGCGGATGTGATATTCACGTTCAGGAGGTCCAATTAGGCCGCAGGTTGTAAAAGGGAGAAAAGTGAAGGAGGGGGGGGGCATATTCCAGAAGGCGACGATACCCTGCTAAAACCCTAAAAATTCAGCAACGAAACGAAAAGTGACACACTTCCTTTCATCGGGTAACATATCGGCAGCAGACGATGCTCTTCCTCGGCCACGTCCTCGACCTGTACCAGATGGTGGCGGCACCTCGCGTTCAGCACTGAAAAATTCAACAACTGTCCTAGACACAGAGCTGATATTCAGCTGAGCACCTTTCCCACCACTCCACTACCACAGAACCTAATAAAACCTTGTGATAAAATAAGCAGCGCCTCTACCATTACTAACAAAGCCTTCCACAACTCTGGGGTAAGCTAAGTAGACAGTAATTCGTCTCAGAGGATAGGAAGCGTTTATAGTTCGTGACGGCGACATTGACGCGACTTATGCGATCTTTAGTTCGCGGTTGGGCGCGTTCAAAACGGTGAGCATGACTTCCGATGCGAGATGCGCATCCCGCGCTGATCTTATGGGTGGTACACATTGCGCCCTTGTCATAAGTGTATCCTCCTGTTTGCCATTCAAAAAAATGGACCATCAACGAGAATTACAAATGCGTAGAAGGGACTCCACCCATACTACCAGCGCGGAATGTGCTTTAATCATGTAAACCAACCTTGATTTCCCTGAACTTCGATCATCCAGTGAGAGTAGCTGAGGAGGAGGAGCAGCACCCGTGGATGCAACAGTAGGAGGCAATGTGCCGCAATTTGACGATGGCATCAACGTGGTCTCTTCTTGCTCATAGTATTGAGGGGCATTCTGAAACGAACCAATCAATAGGAAAGTACTTAGCCGAACTGCGTGTCTTATGTCAGGCCATGCACAGTATTTCATTTATTAAAATGGGGCGCAGTACGGCGATAGGGCGGGGAATTTTGCACTTTTGTTACGTCCTATCGACGTGTCGAGCCATCAAGAGAGCTATTCAGCTAAAAGAATTGACAGGTTTTACCATGGTGGCTCGACAAGCTTGCTCCAGTTTCACAAGAAATTACGGGTTTCACCGAAGACTTGTAAACGGGAATATTGGAGCAGAGAAAGTGCGAAATGCCCCCCCCCCGGTCGCCCAACTTAGCCAAAAAATAGAAGAAGTAGTATTCCAACTGATGGCCCAAAATGAAGCGGCAACAATATGCTGTACGACACGAATGCGACTATTGGATTGCGATGGACGATTTTATTTACAGCCATGAAAATAATTCAATATCGTATTGATTAACATACGTGTTTGCTGACGGCTGGCTTCACATCGCGTGGATCCCAACCCGCTGGATCGACGGCGGCGGCTGCAGCCACTGCCGATGCCGCAGAATGCAACGCCGACAGAAGATGCGCTTGCGAAGCCACTGGCGTTGCCACTTCTGACTCGCCAGATGGACGCTTTCTAGAATAACCTACGATGAATGTGGTAGCTGGGAAGATGGAATAATAGAAGACTCACTCGAGCGTTGGCTGATCTTTCACGCTTCGAGGCGACTGCACTGGACTTATCGTCACACTTCGTGGTGGTGCTGCAAGAAGTCCACCACTTGTCGACGGAACACAATGAGCAGCCAAAATACCGGCAGAATTGGGTGCCGATCCGGAGGGTGTCAATGACGAGAACATTGAAAAGTCCGGTCTGAAAGACATTTGTTTAGGAAGCCTCCTTGGACTTTCACCCTAGAGGGAGAGTGGGGTATTTCAATGGCAAGTGGGATGATAAATCGACAGCGCGCACAAAGTGATGTGCCTAGCATGGAAGTATATTATGCCCTTCAGCACGCGCTAGATGGCGCCTTTTCCAACCAAAACCACCGTTTTAACACCTCGTTAAGGTGCAGCTTGCCGACTCAGACATCAACCGCCCGCCCACAAGGACCGGACAGTCATATCGACGCTGGTACACTTGTCGATTCATTTACAGAGTACAACTTATATGAAGCTTATGAATACACACATGCAGCCGTATCTATCGAAGTGGTTTTGGCATGATGCCAGCAGAAAACACGTCCTAAAAGGCTTTCTAATGTCGTGCAGAACAAAGGCTTTTTCGCCGGTTTCAGCCGTTTAACTTTGCTTTATCTTCGCTCAAAAACGGCAGCAGAGCCTCTATATAGGCGCCTTCACGGAATAACCGCGTCTAACTGAGAGTGCTCCAACATAGGTGAGACTATTGTACCTGAAACTGGTCACCTACCCATGAACTTGTCCCCCCCCCCTTCTTAGGCCAAAGCAGAAGTCTTCATAGCAAGCTGCTGGTACTACTCCAGGCGGGCATCGAGTAAATAGAGAAAAGCTTGCTCCGTCCTTGCTCAATGCCTACTCGAGCGTGGGGGCAGTCTGATCTTGTTAGTCGCGGATGGTGCGAGTCAGGGGGGATGAGCGCGGCACGAGCCCGTTTTTTTCATTTTTTGCTTAGCAAGCGACAAGGCTTTATCATATCGTTCATATAGGTAGTTTCCCACCAACTGCTGTCGCTTGCCTAGTGGTGGCGAACGGGCTAGCGGCGCGCCAAAAGCGCTAACTGACACGCCCCATCAGCGAACAAGACTATAACTTGGCCTATGGCGCAACCCATTTCTATTTGTAACACAGGGCGAAGCCATCGAGAGCTGTTCAGCACAGCGTCAGCCCTTGTCGAGTAAGTAAAAAAAAAACAAAGCAAAAAGGCTCTATCGCTGACATTAAAAAAATTCAAAAATTAACGTCAAAAATTAACCCAAACATGATCAAAGCTCGAAATAGTGAAATCATAACCAACTTGTTGATGTAGTTAATCGTATGCAAACGATCAGAATGCATGTCCAGTACAGCATTCAATACATCGGCAGTTCTTGGCGCTTGCTGCGTGCTGGAACCGTCATTGTTCGACGAACTCGAATCTCTCATCTGCAATTATTTCACATGGAATATCCACTGTCATTTCATCATAAAATGAGCGCTAGTCTCATATAGATCCGCAGTCCGAGCCAGTAAAAGTGCGTTGGAATGGCTCACTTCTACGCAAGCCCCGCCCATTGCGGGCGGAGTTTGCGTAGAAGTGAGCCATGCGTCGAGTTTTAGTTTTTTTTCAATTGAGTTTTATTTATTTATTTATTTATTTATTTACACCATAAGGTGTGCCACAATGCTACACTAGGATAAAGTGAGTTTTATGCGTGCTTTGCAGATCTTGGCCCATGCCCCATCCATCAAATGCATGGTAGCTCCTGAAAGTGATTCCTCACGCAAACCCCGATTCCCGGGTAGATAGACAGACAGACAGACAGACAGACAACTTCTGGTCTGTATACTGGATACTCGATGGAGTGAAGATTTTTTCACCCACTCGTAGAACAAGGAGCTGCGATGTGGACGACCCACGTCCTCCATTAAAAGTTTTCATTTAGCGAGAAGTGGTTCACCAACCCGGAATTCCTTCTCTTCTCCAAGGTCAACGGCACGTCATTACACGTGGTGTGTCCTATGAGAGAGAAAAAATCTTCAAAAAATGTAGCCAAGCACATAAGCGCCAAAGCGCGTTGTGGGAACTTTTCGTTAAATACGACTCCCTCAAATTTTCTTCTCGCCACAACCCTTTTTACAGCCTGCCCTGAGCACTCCATGTTGCCGGAGAAAATTTTTCAAAGTCCGGCCCCTACTCGTCCTACCTACCATTCTGCCGCACTTTCTCAACTTACCGTTTCCAAAAAAAATTCTCTCTCCTCCCCCCACCCCTCAGAAAAAAAAAACCGCCGTCGAGCGAAGAGCGGGCGATGGTGGTCACCACCAAACAACAACTAATTCTGACTATCGGAAATAGCAATTGTATGGACTTTGATTGCGCCGCCAACCAAAGGGGGGGAAGGGGAGGAACCGCGCAAAGTCAACAACCGAAAATTTTGTCGTCACTTAGAAGTTTTCTTGCAAATGCTAATACGATCCCTTTTCCCGACCACGAGCAAGTACGCCCTCACTCCTTCTTTCGACTTACCAGGAAAGGTCAACAGGTCAGCCTGGCCATTTGCAATGAGATGCACATCACTGTACTCATCTTGACACGGTGAACTCAGAACTGTCTTCAAAATTTGCAGAACGATTCTCTGAGCGGAGTTATGGAGGTTTTTCTTTACTGTTTTTCTTCTTACGGGCGCGCTGGCGCCGAAGCGTTGGCACATGTAGCGCGACTCACAGCGCTCTTCGCGCAAAACAGGTATCATATTCGTGTTCAGGGGTCAAATAACCCCTAGGAAACGTCACCATTAGCAAAATCTGAGCTTCTGACTCAACTTCGAAAAATGGGGTATAGATGGCCATGGCTGACTGATAGCTAACAGCGATGCTACGACCAGCACTGGTGATGACTGGTCTTCGAACTGAAATAACTCTTCAGTCATGTCTTTTCGCAAACAACAGTACCTGGCTTACTTATTTGTGCCGTCTGCATCATTTTCTTGACTATCGGGAGGAAATCCCCATTCCGAGACCAGTCATCGATGGTAGGTGAGCTCCAATCTGCTGCTAATTACCCATGGAATAGCCCACATTTTCCAAGTGAGGTCGAAAAATCAGATTCGGCTAGAAACTTGTCCCCAGGGGTAATTTAACCCGCTGAACATGAATATGATGGTATTTCATTGCAAAAACCCTTGTGACACGTGTTACGAGGGGTACAAGCAGAAGCACTCTTTCAGGCCACAATGAGTCTACACTTAAAAAAAAACTGATCGCAGGTTCCCTTATAAGTAGAAGAAGAGAGCTTCGCGCTATGCTCTTGGAACAAATGCAAAAAAAGGGACTGAGCCGGAACCGACGTATTCGCCTGAGAAACCCGCTCCCTACCCGTTGCGCTCTGCTGCCACGTTTCAGAACGACTCCATACATAAATGTAAAGACGCTTCCACGTTTCCTCGCGATAGCATGTGAAACGACCATGCGGGGATAAAACCCTCCATAACTCCGTTCAGAGAATAGTTCTGCAAATTTTGAAGACAGGTTCACCGTCCCAAGACGCGTACAACGGTGTGCAGCTCATTGGAAATGGCCGGGCTGACCTGATGACCTTGCCTGGTTAGTATTATCCCCACTGGGGATTCAACTAGTTACGACATGACTTAAAGGCAGTTGGCACGATGGTTTCCTACTTAGCCTAAAATGCTAGTAGGGCGCTGTATAGTGGGGAAATGGCGAAAGAACGGAGTGAAACGGTCAAAATCCTGCGAAGAAAAAGCCTCCGTTCTCAGTGACTTGTAAATCGACAATTGTAAATCGATTTCGGACGAGTTTCCCGTAGGCATCTTACCAATCACCGCTACCGAAGATACGGCTGCATATGTGTACCATATATGCATGCAGCATCACGGCCGCTTCATACCAATCCCTTTGCTTCATAATTTGCTCAGCAAATGAATGAATACGAGCGTCAGAAACGGTCGTCCGTTTGTGGGCGGGCGGGCGTGGCGGGCGTTTGGGACGTAAAGTTGTGGCTTGATAGGGCCCTTATAAGGGCACCTTCCTCGGGGAAACCGCTATGCAGCGCCTGCCCAGGGTCGCGGAATTCTATCCTGCCAGGAGTATTGATCCTAGTCGTCTTGGGGGATTCATCGTGCCAACTGCCTTTAAATCTGTCTCCCTCTTACTCATTTTGCCCTAAATTTCACCTGGGGAGGGGATGGGACCAACAATTATAATAGTAGTTTCGACACACCGCCAACTAGGGGAGTTTATAGCCCGTATGAAATGGAAAACCAGTAATCAAGGGCAATTTACCTCGAAACCAGGAGTCCCAAACATGTTTGGGACCAAGGCACATTATCGAAAATGTTGAAACCCCCCAGCCCAGTTGCATTAATACTATTGTTTTCCCTATTCATGGACTTTTGTAATATGCCACTGTATTTGAGTTGAGTGCGTAGAGATAAAATGGACCATTGGACTGCGGACCTGCATTGGACCAGCGCTCTTAACCTGAAAAATCACTAACTTGAAGCAGTAGCTTGGATATGTCGGCAGTTTTCAGATTCTCGTTGACGACTCCATCAGCATCCGTTTGTAGAATGCTGATATTCGAGAAAATTCCTGGGGATTCCGAGAGGGATGAAGGCAGTTTTAGCAATGAGAAAGCTGAGAGATCTAGATTTCAAACATTGTAAATATCATCATTGTATCATCACAAAACACGGGGCACTACATTCACTTACCGTTAGTACTCGGCAGCGACATTGTCGCCGGAACGAGACCATTTGCCTCAAGAGCACCCGTGGTTAGCTTCCTGTTCGCTTCTCGGAACTTTGCTTCAAATGGATTCACCGACATACATTTCTGCATTAGCTCGGCAGTTAAAGGAAAATCTGAAAATAAAAACTATTTAGGCTCATTTAAAGCGTTCATCGCGCGCAACAATATGCTGTCCACTAGCGCCGCCCACCAAGTGAATGCTTCAGAGATCAAACCCAGATCGGACCTTATCCGGACCAATTAGACCATCTATCATACGGGGTGTTTCATTTAAACCAGGCTTAGTTGCGAGGATAAGAACATTCACTCATACATCAGCCGGCTACGCATGCTTGGTATGCACCACACAGAGTTCCAATTGTCACTACGATTCTAAGTGTAAGAAGAAAGCATGGCGCACCTAAAAAGCAACTGATTTAGGCTGGAAGCTCCAAGCTCGCTTGAAGTTACCCCTTCCCGTTCTCATCCAGCTTGACTGAATGGCAACGGTGCCTTCTCACTTTGAGCAACGATTTTTTTTCGACTGAGACAGTAAACTTACTTGCAGACATACTATGGAAGGGAAAATTCGACGAAAAACTCGCAATAGATTAGAGCTCAATATTTTCCCGGGGCAAAAAACCTAACGAGGACACGCCGGACGATGAGGATCATTAATGGGAGCAGTATTTGGCCACTGGAGGGGAGGGGGCACATTTAACAAGAATCATTCTTCTCATCGTTGATTTTTCCCGCTTAACGCGCTTATAACCCTCCTTTTTCATTTGGCAGCGTCATAAAACTGCTCCCTTTCCCGTATCTTTTTCTTTAGGGGAAAAGCTGGAAAAATGGTCGGACCACCAAGTTTGGGAGAGTCTAACCGCTGCAGAAAATTTGGTATGTAAAAAATCCCCCAGCGCAGGACGTGCCTTGGTCCTGTGACGCCCCCAGTTATGTGCAAAAAATGCACGTGCTTCAGTGCGTCGGACGCGCACAGAAATTCCTCAACGTCAATGTATTGAATAATTCTGCTGTCACATCTGTATTCCAATTAGACCTGTATTCACGACCTTTCTGACAGGGTTGTTGGGGGAGGGGGGGGGAGGGAGGGAAGACATGCATGCATGTCCCAGCGCGAGTGCAACCAATGGACGACGTAAACACGCTCCCTAGAACGCAACAACAAACTACCCAAAGCCTTTCAAGGTAGGAATAATTAGCCCCCAATTTGGATTACTGTCCTTCTTGATGCCTTCATCAGATTTGAATTTTTACTGACTCTTTCGAACATCCCACCACTTTCCCGGAATATTCTAACTCTTTCCCACAATTCTGCCATCGAGAGGGGAGGGGGGGGGAAGGGAGACGAGCGCAGCGTGAAACGGGAAAAAAAACAGTTATCAAGAAATTTTTTTCGTATCAAAAAAAAATAAACACGATTCCCCCTTTTCCACCAAGCGGACCAAATAAACTTACCCCACCTAGGGGGGAATTTTTTCCACAATTTTTCGGCGCAGTAATTTTCACTGCGCTGGGCCCTGATTCAAAGTGGAATTAATTCCACAAACAGTTAATTTTCTTCCTGGGCCCTAGGAAAGTCAAAAGTTTCAACACAGTGAGCACCGTAAACACGATAAGAAAAAAACCTAAACAAAAAATTCAGTACACCAAGTGTGGTGTAATCTTGACTGAAATTTGGCAAATTTCATTGTTTAACTTTTGGGAAAAAACCCCCAAGAGGACATCGCGTGGTACTTTGGAACCCCCTGTTTTTGGCGCGGGAGGAAAATTGCATTTTGAAAAATAACAGTTTGTACCTCGGTTTACCTCCATTTGGCAGAAAACTCAAAAAACGATTCCCAGGTGACAGAGAATGGTAGCACTGCATGGGGGCCAGTTTCTCAAAGCGTGTGTAATACGGTGGGCAATCACATTCCATGACCGCTGGCGGTGGTCGTAATTTCATAGCGGTTTGCCGCCAGGCCGGCAGTTCCGCGTACGTTTCGGAATTACACCAATAACAATCAACACTTCACCCAACCCCAAAGGGTCAAATTATAGCTATTTACGGCCAAATTTTAAATCCCCGGATCCGATTATCGCCCCATTGTTTTAGTTGATAAAGCTTAGATAAAAGCCTTGGGGCTTTCATAAGCTGAAACAGGAAATCGCGAGATTCGGTCCTCGTTTCAGGGCGCTGGAAAATTCTACCAAGGCTTTCCATCGGGTCGGTTTTGTGGTTGGCTGGAGGGAGGGGGAATTCGTAGTTGATTTTTACTAGGGAAAGTTTCTAGTTTCTAGTTCAAAAAAACTTTCTTTAGTATTTGTTTCGTGTTTCCACCGCGCGGTACGTCCCACACTCCCCGGTCGATGGTGAAATTTTGGGGGAAAACCGTGTTTGGCGGAAGAAACATGGGAACACACCTTTCGACCACCAAATTCTGCCTGACCCGCCTGCTTTTGGCTGTTCAGCTTGAGGGAGGGGGAGAGGGGCATTTTGCTTTTTTTGCTAAATTCTTTCAGCGGATCCTGTTCAATTACACGTCTTGCCTTGGTCACACCTGTTAACTCTTGTCAAGTCGATGGAAGTCAGAAAAATGCCCCCAAAAATGAAGCTTCTGCAGTACTATTCAGCTACTACAACCCTGAAATTCCAAGGAAAAATCTGCTCGAATCGCCTCCTCCCTCCCTCGAGATTATTTCGAGCTTGATTTCTGGTATGAAATTCATAAAAGCGCCAGCCCCATTTCTTCTTCACCAAAATATGTTAACGGGGAGGGAGAGAGGGAGAGCGAAAGGAATGAAGAGTTCTGGTCACGGGAATGACATCAATCTTAACGCCGGCCAGAACAACAATGTGGCGTGAAATGGCGCTCTTGTTTCGACCAGCTATCCCCCCCCCCTTATTGCCTACTTCAAAAAGTATCCCCACTCCCTATCTTTTTTTCTGTTCTCCACCTTTTTTTCCCGTTTTCCCCGAAGAACTTCAATCGAGCCAGTTGGGGAAGGGAAGCGGGGGAAGAAGGGGTGGGAAAATCTTATCGCGGCGGGAAAAATTTTCTCTTCAGACCAGGTGCAACACCCATCACCAGTTATGGCCCCTCCAAAGCGACTAAGTATACCCTCCCTGGTGGGATTCTTCCAATGACGCTCTACTCTGACGCCAGCACCGAAAATGTCTTATTTGATTGAGACCCTAACTTACTCGCAAAGGTGGCACCAAATTGGTGCCGACGCCATTTCGGCGCCACAAATAAGCGCCAGAACGTTTCACGTCTCAAGTACTTCTCAACGCAAGTTCATAATTTTTGTAAAAAAAATCGCGGCGTCACTTTGACAAAGGCACCAACCTGGCGCGATGTGCAGTCGGGGGCCAAAAATAACTGTCATATCTGTCATCATGGCAACAAAAAAACTTCCGTACACAGTTTGATAGCGATTTGGGTGAAAAACATTATAGCGACAAGCTGGCGCCAAACAGCGCTGGAACCAAGACGAATAGGATGTTCGCAATTGGAGTATACTTTTACAAAGCGATTTTTTTAAGAAATGGTATTACTAAAACTTTGTTGTTATTGAACAGCACTCCCCCCCCCAATCCCACACCATTAATGGAATGAGATGACTAACCATGTGACTGGCTTAAATCACTCACATTTCTCGTATATCCTCTGGTGACATTTGAGTAATCCGCTGGATCATACCTACCTCACCCCGAGCTCAAAAATCAACGTGAATTCTCGGGCTGCCCTGTTACGCAGGCACGTCTTCCTGTAGGGGGAAATTTCTGCAAAATACAACCCCCTTCTTCCCAGAACTTCCCCTTTAAGTACGATATGCCATCCTGCCTACCATCTTACCAAACTTTTCGAGGGGGAGGGAGAGGGGGTGGGGGACAGCGAACTTAAAGCAGGAAAAAACGGGAAAAAGTTAAAACCGAAAACATCTTTCTCCAAGTCCCACAGGCGAACACGTTCCCCCCCCCCCAACACTAGCGACCAAATACAATCCGCTCGCTGGTAATCCCCAACGTACGATGTGCCCTGCTACTGGGACATCCTGTGTATGAGAGAAAAAAAATCAGTTAACTACCTCCAAGCGGTGTCGTTCCTCCTAGTCCAAGGAGTCGTTGTGGGTTCGGAGTCTCCAGTAAATCGACACCCGGTGACACGTCACTCGTAACGATTTGCACTCGCTGAAATTACGGCAAAAATAATTCGTCTGGAATGTAAAACAGTTTTTCCTCATAATTTCTCACTTTCAGATCAAAAGAAAAACAATAAAATCAGAAAGTCCCAGATCTTACGGATCTTATGGATAGGAATTACAGTGGCCTCGAAGGGGACACTCATTCATTTTGTAAAAAATTACATTATTTTAGTCATAATGCAGCGTGAAAGGGGCCTGTCAGGCAGTACGGTGTGCTGCCGGCGCGCTCAAACGCCGTTCTTTTGGCCAGTTGCTAAAGCGGATTAGGAACAATAGTTGGTAAAAAACGAGGATACGAACAGTATGATCAAGTTGTTGTCCTATCTCGCTCTGCAATACACTGGTGGAGAACGCGTTTGGCAATGCCGACCAAACTCATCCCTCGCTGACACTGCTCCTAGTCGTCCGCAGGGGCGAACAAATTTATACACTACGCTCCCAAACCAAACTAGCATAAATTAATCGCTGCTTCTTAGCCCCAGAACTCTACATCACTCCAACCCAGTCAAGGAAAAAAAGACCTGGAAGGACAAAAAAAATCCTAAAATTTCCCCTGTGCATTTCGCTCCTTCAATGCTGAAAGTCAACAAGATCAAACACACAACCCTTCCCAGCGACCCCAACAGGAATCTTCATCAGGGGGCGAATCCCCATCACTCACGCTGGCGCTGTTCCAATCAACAGCCTGCCACGATGCCCAGGGATATCTCTGACCAAAAAACACATCCGTCGATATTTGAAGGAACCTGTGCGCGTGGCTAGCCTTGAGAGATAGGAGCCGTGCAAAATCCAGGGAAGGAGTCCTTCTGCAAAATCAGGGATTGACATTATCCGAATAGAGTACTCGTACTTGCAATCAGATCATCTACCGAACAACTCCTTCGATTTTTTGGCTGAGGCAACAACCCTCATCTCCACTACTGTAATTCCAGCATTGCACGGAAAGTCCTTGGGATTCCCCCTCCAAGATTATTAGCACAGAAAATCGAAAGCATAGTACATTGTTAATCAGTACGAAGCACTTGATGCCGATGCCTTTGCATCTTATCCCCATCAAAAACTCTTAATAAGGAACGTTCATACTTTGCAAATAATGACAACCCGACCCGACGACAGATAGATGAAGCGATTCAGCGACAATACGAAGTATACGTATCGATTAGGCGATTCCGGAGAGCTGGCGACAAAAGAAACGATGTGAATCGATTGACACCCCCACTGGCGAATCACGTCCTCTCCAGAAGCGCGAATTCTTTGAGAACGCCCATTCACTCAATCAATTCTTCATCCAATCTTCTGTCGCCAGCTCTTTCAAATCGGGCATTCCCCACATTCGCAAAGCATCAAGTCGGCCCCTCAAAAA